ATATATTTGGCCTGACAGATGGCACTCAGTCCCACCCTAAAAACCTGAGCTTAAAACATATCACAGACACACCAATAATGACTGTTCTGTAGTTGCTCTAACCAGGAAAAAAAAAAAGACTGTATTTGTGTGACAATTTTATTGTATAGTGTACATATGGCACAAAGAGGACTGTAACAACAACTCACCCCTGAAGTCAAGCTCAGTATTAAAGGCTGCAGATTTTCACTTTGTCTCCAGTGATTATGCTGAATGGCTATGCTGTCTCCTGCATGATAGCCCTCTTCTAGCCCCTCATTATCACACAGATGGGATAGCTTACACTTAGCAGGGAACCTGTTTTTTTTATAACATTAAGAATCCACCATCAGTACTACTGTATAAAGTCTATGCAACTGCAGCAACATATCTTACTCTATAACATGATTTTCAGGAGAAGTGTCACCTGCGGAATTCTGTCCCTCCTCCCATGGCAGTGGGCATTATGAAAATGAGCTGCTAGGAGGGTTTAAAGGAAACCTATGCTGAGAGAAACATAAGGGCTGCCATTGCTGGCAAATGTGTATATTTAAATCAGCAAAAGTATTAAAACACAAATGCCAAAAGGATTTGTAATTCTACACAGACACTCCTATGATGTACACATGGCTCAGCCAGGGAGATAGCCCTCTTACCTCCTGGTTCAGCAATGCAGCTTCCTATGTCACCTTTCCAACCACAGCCTGCTCAATGAACTGTGAACCAGAAGAATGGCCTCTGCGCACCAAGCAGTGAGCAGATCCAGGATCAGGTGTGCATCAGAAGTGCAGTGTGGAAGAGGAATAGAAATCCCACAAGCGGCTGAACAAAACATATACACAGTATTTCAAACTATATTTAGTGGTCTGCCTGGAGGTTTACTTTACAAAAGTAAGGAATATTAAAAACAGAACATGTGCAAGCACAAGACTGATGAAGAGCAGGGGTACAGTGTCAAAAACGACTACTTGGAGATGTGCAGCATTACTTTCTGTGACATCTCTAAGTATTGCTGCACAGAGACAGCGGACATTTCGTGAAATGGAAAAAAACAAAAAAATTCTTTACAATGTTTAATTGATTTAATTTTTGTGCTGTTTGCAAAGTGGAGCTCCTCTTTAAAAAGGGGACTGCCAATCTATAGGATGACACACACCATAAGGCATTTAAGGATTGTCATTCGTCAGTGCAAGGGCAATCAGATCTCTAGACACTAAAGAGTGCCCATGTGTTCTAGTTCTAACCTAATCTCCACTGCATTCATGTCTCCCAGAAGGTGAGCAGGACTCTGCCGACATCGTACACAGGACACTTTCACATTATGGGGAGAGCGTGCACAAGTGTACATAGAGGTTTATGCTGACCACCATCTGTTACCAAGTATCCTCAGTAAGAATGTTACACGCAACCATCAATCAGATTCAAACTAAGACAGCTATGGAATCTTATTAGCGAGTATGGGAAAAAAAATAGCCCACAAGTAATATAGCAGGGCTAAACTCCCCCTTTATATAGTAGGAGGGACAGTGGTAAGTCCTAGTGTACATGGGCACTTACTTTGCGCCATCTCTTACCTGTCCAGAGGCTTCTTTCTAAATAACAAAACACAACACTAAAGAGCGGCCATTACATCAACAGTTATAAAAACACATACGTAATGCTTATTTGGCTGGAAAGCAGCATTAAAATGTGCTGGACCACATTGCAAACAAAGATGTCTACAAGGCACCTGTTCACCTAAATACATGAAAAACCTTAGGAGACTTATGGGCACAGGTTTTATGAAAGGCAGGACATTCCCCTTCAATCCTAATTACAGAATAAAGTCTGGAAGTGCTGCCGCATGTAGCAGAGCAGTCCAATAGTCCAAAAATCTGATTGGTTGCTGTGGACAGCAGAGAGAGTGAGTCTTCCTAGTTTTATATATCTACAGAAATTATGTTTTTAATGTAACTGCACAGGAAATAACCTCCATACATTAGAAGAACAACGACCATTTACAATGACTGTGGCAGGGGGACATTGTGCGTTTAGGGCTCCGTTGGGCTGTCTGCCCCTTCTGTCAGCGTTTTGAAGTCAATGGAGAGAGCTTGCTCTTCGGGTAACGGTGGTCGCTTCCACTCCTCCCGTGTAAGGATGTAACCAATCACCATACCAAATGCTACCAGCAGCACTCCTAATGAATTAATGAGAACACCTTCTGGTGGCAACTCAGAGTATTTCAACCTGAAAAAATAAATAGGCAATTAATAACCCTCCATACAATCACCATAGAAAGCTTACTTACAGCACACACTACTGTGCACGGACAGTTCTTTATAGACCTCCACTAACATCAACATTCCATCATCAGCTTTCGTTTCAAAGTTCTAGTCCAGAAAGGCAGTGTTTTGTTTTTGCTTTGTTTTTCATAAGATACATATGTGATTGACTTTCAGATTACTGATGGGGGGCTAATTACAATCTAAAAAAAACAACTGACCCCAACAAGAAGAATCGTCCCACCTGTACCTCTGTCAAAAGGAATTGGGTGAAGTCTGTGCAGAAACCGACTCTTCTGGGAGTGTTGATCTTCTGTGCCCCCCCCACAGTGCTCAGTGGTTCCTCCCTCTGACCTTTATGTCCTGTAGTGAGGTAGGGGTTAGCGGGAGGAACCACTAAGCATTGAGGAGGACACAGAAGATCAAGACTCCCAGAAGACTCCATTTCTGCACAGACTTCACCCAAATATTACTCTTAAGAGAAGTGAAAGGAGAGGTCAGAATGCACTTTCTTCTCTACAGGAATAGTTTTTATTCAGCCTTTTTGTTAGGCTGGAGTTGGACTTTAAAGTGTAGCAAAGGTTTTTCTTCTCTCTCCCTATCTCCTTGCCATAAAACAGAGCTCACCAGACTTGGACACATTTTTGTTCCAAAGAGTAATTCTACATTCATAAAATGCACATAATGTCAAAGCGATAATTCTAGGCACAGGAAACGCACATGCCTGTTGTATACGATGCAAGTACACAAAAATAACCATAGACATTCCGTCTCTACACACCGATTCTTCCTGGTGACTGTTATTCATCTACCAAAATAGTTTTGTAGAAGTTTCTATATTCTGTCCCTGCCAAATAATGGTTCAATATATAATAGCATGTTTATTTACATGGCTGTATTATCTTTTTGGATAGTTATATGCTAACAAAGCTCATCTTATCACTTATTAAAGGACACCTGTCATGGCAGAAATACAGAGGCTGCCACTGCTGACCTTATCTAACAATGCTAGTCATCTGAGAGCAATAGCCGAGAAGCAACAAGCAGCAAGTGAAGTCCGCACTCCTGATCTGCATACTAGCTTTGGGTCAGTGATTTAGAAAAGTACTGGAACCAGAAGGAAAGCATGACAGCCAGGCAAAAGGTCTTTCATGAGGCAGTGGTCCCCAATGGCAGTCTACGCATTTGCCTTCTGGTAGATTTCCTTTAACTGCCGATATATAGATGACCACTAGGAGGAGATGTTGTATTTACAGTACAGTATGGAACGCCATGTGAAAAATGTGAAGGTCTTGTCATAAATTACCTCATGTTGGGTTAATGTTATAGTAGCTGGAAATGTGTACTGTCTGGAACAAACTAAAAAGGTTTGTCACAGATGTCATATTACAACAACCAGATTCTGCCTTAATAGAAAACCATCATACAGCAGTATAGTCAGCTGCGTCCACTGACTAGTGAAGACATCGTTATTCTTCCAACATAATGAGGAACCAGGCAAACCTTCTACAGATCATTTGTACAGAAAAGGACAGGAGACTGAGCACAAGTGTATATTATGGTTACATTCTATTCCACTGACCATGTTTAAAAACATCCTGGGATAATCTGCTACTCTGCCGGCAGTCACAGGGAAATGTGGAACTAAAAGGCTCTGTAGACTTCACTTATCGTGATGACGGTCTGTATTGCCTCACAACAACCAGTCAGATTCAAGTTTTCAGTTTTTGTACTTTTGCATGTCATCCGATTGATTGCATTGAACAGTTAATAAGGACTATGTACAGGAGCTGGAGACCGCTGCAATGCATATGTGAACAGATTCTGATACACAGTATGTGCGTCTCGTGTACAGAGAACCCTGTCCTGATCTATAAAAACAGAATATACTCACTCCTTTGTGAAGAGCGCTTTCTCCGTCAGGCCGAGCAGGCAGGTAGCGATTGTGCTAACCAGGAGACCCATGCCAAAGAATACGTGTAGCGGCTTAAAACGACTCTTGTATGCAAAGGCCACTCCAGGCACGAAGAACAGGATAAAACCCATTATCCACTGTAAAAAGAAATATGACATGGTTACACAATGCTGATCACATAAGTCATGAGTGGTGAGGTCAGTCTGCACAGGTAGCAGGCCAACAAGTCAGAGCAATGTAATACACAGGTCCCAGTAATACGGGCTCAGCTACCCTCCTCTCTCTCTTCTACTATACAGTGTTGAAAATAAACAAAGCAGTTTATTAAAACAACATTATAGTTGCCGATTGATTCTGCCAGCCGCTGAATAAAAGAGGGCAGCAAGTCAAGACATTTACTTTCCTGTTTTCATTTCTCAGATTTAGTTACTATTTTCCTGCTGCCTCGGTGTAATTTATTGATGCATTTCTGCAAGCTCTCAGCATTTGTATGAAAACAAAGCGGCAACAAGAAACGTTGCTGTATCCCAACCCTATCCCATACACGCCAATGAAGATGCCTGGAACAGATGTATGCAGAACTAAATGGCTCTTCAATTGTTTATCTCTGATTGACACCAGACGTTCTGGTTGCTCAGTTTGCCCAGGGCCATAAACAAATTATTTGCATGGCTCTGGCCAATATGTGCAAGGCTGCATCGTGCCGTGCATTAGTAAATGGCCTTTTGGTTCCCTTTAAATCACCATAGATCACCATAATCTTTCCGGGTATACTTTGCCCTGGCTAGCTTGGCGAGAGTCCTTGGAGAGCTTGCGTGGCTGTCAAATCTCTGGTTTCCAGAAAACTCCATGTTCTCCCAGCTACTGCACACAGAGGTCTATGTAAATGTGTCAGTCGAAGCTTGGAGAAGGTGGTAGAGTGTTGTCATTGCCAAGTATTTAAAGTGGCAGGATGTGGGGTGTGACCTTAATCCAAGTTTCACTTCCTAGCAAGTCATTAACCCTGTAGAAGCATGCAGAACAGGAGATTACACAACGCTTGCATGTTTTAAATCCACAATGTATTAAGATCAGGATGACAGCTTCAGAGCCTGCACCTTTAAAACCTAACCTAGAAATAACAGCTCTCCTAATGCCATCACACTGGTTCAATTAAGTCTCAGTGTCTGAAACTGACTGCATTGCTAAGAATGAAAAAGACCAAACAGACTCCACATGAGTCATGAAATTTATATGGGAGAGGGGGGATTATAAATGAGGTCAATAAACTAATTGTGTTTACTTTACAAGAAAATCGGTCATGACATTTCCCTGGAATACAGTCTACCAGGGTCACTACATGGTACCACCCAGCATCTGTTGGATGAAGACTTCTGGGTGGTTCATCTTTACCAACAGCCAAGGGGGGGAATTCCTTGAGCAAAGTTCTTCAATGAACAGATACACTGATCTGCTGCTTTACACAGCTGATGTAAACCTGTTTCTTTACAATTTCACAGGACCAGCAGAATGTTCCTCTGTATTCTGGTGGCAGCAGAGATGCAGTAAAAGCCTGGCCACAAATCATGGCGCTCTTAAAAATATGCAACCACCATGGGCTGATCCACACAGCCTTTGGATGAAGGAGCACCTCCAGGATACAGTGGCATTGGCCTTGAAATCCTCTCTACTTTCAGTGCCCCAACATCAGCGGTATTATGCAAGGGACAATCATTCAAGTGAACTAGAAAGTAGCCTCAAACATGGCAACATGATACACTACATGAAAGTGCAACACAAAACTGTTTGAATGCATTGCGTGGTTCAACTCTTACACAGGCAACAAGAATATGGCAAGAATGCCATTCCCGAGACCTGAGTGTTCCCATCTCTGAGATGGGAACACTCATTATCGTTAAAATTATCTTTAGCAGCTCATTCAATTACCATGCATGTGTTAAAATTGAGAAATAAGATTAGAAGAAGGAGCGGCCGCTATGAGAACAGGCAAATCAAAATGAACTACCAGTGTATGGCTATCTTCAGCCAATGAAGCTTCGGACTTGCTGACCTTTCTTCTAGATTGTATACATACACAAAGAATATGCATTCAGAGTCAGTGAAGATGTAAGGATAGGACAATTGTTGCAAAGCCAGTAGGTGAATGCTCCGGTTAGCTTACCTGCAGAATGTAGAAGCTGTAGGTAGTGATGCCTAACCAGCTGTGCAAGCTGTACATGTCTGGGATATTGCTCTTCTTGTGGAACTGAAATACAGCAATGATCCCTAAAAGAAAAAAAAGAGCAACAACTTAACACACTAGTGACTGCCAGTCAAATCCCCCGCAATATGTACAAAGTCATTGATTCCTCAGCTTTTCTCCCCACTCAGTGTGTGTGAAGGTTTCCCAATAATATTTCCGAGTGACCGCTGTAAACATTTCAAAGGTGACAATCTCTAGTTCTTGGGGGAAATAAAAAACAAACAATTTCTTCATTATTGAATATTCCTTAAGAAGTCTTTACTGCCGGCAAAGATAGCAGTTGGTAAAGAGTGTCCCTATCCACCTGGCATAGCTGTGACAGGTTGCTCTTGGCTATTTAGCTGGCCCACAAGTGATCAGCCCATCCAGTAGAACAGAGGTGCTACAGCATTTATGTGTTATGCCCCGTAGTGGATTTTTAGAAGCATGTACAACAGTTCACGCAGTCTGGTGACAATAATGGCTGAGATGAGCAGGTGACAGGACTAGGAGGAGATCTGTTCTGCAGCAAAGATTGCTCAGGTGTGAAATGGAATGGAGTAGGGTTCCATACCCCGAGACATTTGTTGTGGGCAGATCTGCTCTTTAAGTGAAAATGTAAGTCCTCTGGAGTCCATGTACTAGTAGGTTTTACAACCCACCTGTAACCAGCAGCAGGCCCGCCCATCCTTCCTTTATCCTAAGCCCTTTGTAGATTTGTGCACACTGCAGTTTGCAAATGTACAATGAAAAATATTTTTGTAAAAGTGTACAACATTTGGCAGGGGTGTCCATTTTCAGCAAGCTGCGTGATCATATTATTTATGTCTGTCATCACGTGTGTTCTCATCTTCTTTCCTTCACATTAGTTAATCTCTCTGACACACACACACACACACACACACACACACACACGTCTAGCTGCTATTACCCTTTACGGACTTGGAAAGTGAGTCTTGGGATCCTCACCATGTAGACAAGTCAAGCTATTTTATAAAAATACCTGACCAAGTGGAAAAACATTCACGTTACAGACGGCAAGTTGCTCTATACACCTTAAATAACTGTACATGACAAGAACCCCCATTACTGTGAAGCCATCCACAGTAGAAGACTGGTAGAGTGTTATGCCCTCTAGGCTGGTACAGGGTGCAGAGATTTGCAGTGTTCTACTAACTGCCAGAGAGTTATAGCAAATGGCAGGGGCAATCGATAAATATCTTTGAATGACTCACCTACAAGAGAGATGATCAGTGCCATGACATGGAATGCTCCATGCAGTATCTTAGTGGCCCTCTTAGTCTCATGTCTGAACACTCGATACACCAGTAAAGCTGTGATAATGAAAGATACATAATCTATATTAGTTACTGTCAGAATTGGTTTCACTTACTTTACTAGGACTTGAAATGCTGCATTTTTCATGTTTATAAAATATATTTAAAGCAAACCTCATCATACTCCAATGATGTAAACTTAATGGTGTCCTAGTAATTTTCCACATCAGCCATTTTAAATGTAGTCCTTCTTACCCCCAAAACATGCAGCTGCAAGCTAGCCAAAGGCTGGGAGTTTTTACCTTAAACCTAGCTAAAAAAAAAATTCTTAATTTCCACCCATCCACGTTAAACAGCATGGATACAGGAATCTTCCCTGTTGGGAGTATTGTATCCTCACAGCCGGCACCCGCAGCTGTCAGAAAACCTGACCACTGACTGCAGCTGGTTGGCTGTAGATAGAACTTTCTAAACAATGTGGCACTGTTACAGAATGAAGAAACTGATGATTCTTAAGGTCCCCACACACCTTACGATAATCGTGGGAAATCCCGCGATCGTACGATTATCGTAAGGTGTGTGGAAGCCGTGCGACCTCTACTACTGTAAGGTCGCACGACTTTAAACTTACGAACATGTTTGCAAACCCGCTGAGCATCGTACGATGTTCAGCGGGTGTGTAGCATGTCCGTACGATAAAAGCCGTACGGGCCAGTGTGCGCAAGCGCACACTGCCCGTTTGGCATTGCCGTCATCGGAAGTCGCAAGTACGATCTGCCTATGAGGGATAGGCAGATCGTACGTTTTTTTAAGTACCTTACAACCATCGCAAGACAAAAAAGTCTTGCCATAGTTGTTAAGGCATGTGCCCAGCCTTAGATTAGAGCTCTGAGATCATACCGAATAGGTTAGAATTTGCACAGATGTTTTTATCATTTCACCCCCGGGGCCCTTCTGTAGAAGTGACATCTGGCTACTTGCTGTCATTGTTTACTCGGTCTTCTATAACTAGGCGACCTGCCTATATTATTCAAGATACAACAGATGGGACAGATGGGACCATACAGGACTACAAACTATACACAAATGCTGTAAATCAGGTTGCACTGTATAACAACCTCCACAGATGACCCTGTATTTGTTGTCATAATATATTCATCTGTGGCCACCATCAATACAACAAAATGTGTCTCTTTATTATGATTTTCTTTATCGGAGGCTGACAGTGAAGAGGCACACTGACAGAATAACAAGAGGATTTTTCTACAAGTAAATCTGACCTCCAGCCAAATAGATTCAGATAGGTATTCAGTAAGAAAGTCTTCAAAACTTTTTTCTTTCCTTCCAATACAGAAAGTATTAAAGCGGGACTTTACACTCAAAAATCAAATTCTACCCATGAATGTATGATGATTAATAATAACAGACATGTCAGGTGTAAAATGCTGTGATTGTGAAATAGTTTCAAAAGCAGGAAGTGAATGCTCTGCAAGTGCAAAATGACTTCAGTTTGCCAAAGCAATGCACACTGGGATTGGATTGTCCTCAGCAGAGGATTGCTGGGAAATCTCACGAGATCTCAGGGAAAGTCATTTTCCTCCACTGGAATGATGTGTATGGTCACATGTGCCAGAAACCAGAAAGTAAAAGGAGAGCTGGTAATCTGCCCTTAGTAAACGTGGCCACTGTCAGAAGACTGGGGAAGAAAAGAGAAACAAGGTATACAAAGAATACAAAGCCGGCAATTATCTAGAAGTATGCGTTTGTAGATTAGAAATGTTTAGTAATGACAAAGGTGTGTTAGTTGTTATTGTAAAGATAGGGGTAAAGGTCCACTTTAATACCAGAGTTTTCTTTATATTAGCTTCTCAAAATATGATTTATAGCAGCCTTCTACTCAGACAGGGAAGGCCACGCACCCTGAACCAATCAGGTTTCAATATGGTTGCAGATTGCGATCAAACGCAGCGTCCAATCAGCAGGCTGGGAAAGGTTACTGGGGGAACCATAACTTAACCATTATAATGCATTTGGAGTGTGAACTGCACAGATGGAGGATGCTTGTAGCTTTAAAAAGTAATGTAGGGCATGTGTGTGATCCTAAAGCAAATTTCTATCACTGCTTGTTAAGCTACTGATCTGAAAAGAAAAATGTGCACAGTGAGAGTCAGGAGACTCAGGACACCTTATTTGTGGATTTGTTTATGTCCAAGCTTTATTAAGTACAGAAGCAAGGTGTAAAGATTACCGACTTATATTGTGAACCTTAAATTAAAAAAAAGTCAGCAGTGGCAGTTCTCATATTTGTCCTGACAGGTTCTCTTTAAACAGCTGCCAACGGAGTGACCAGAGCTCTATGAAAACTCTTAAATGAGCCTTTGAACCTCGAGAGTTCCATTAATGCAGAGCTCTTCGTCAGCAATTAATTGGTAGAGTCCATGCGATGACACACCCGTACGTTATTAGTGCATCGCTCTAATGTTACACAGCACAGAGTGATCATGTTTCAGGTCTTCCAATCACGTCACGTAACCAGGAAAAATTACTTCCCTGCCATTCTAGCAGAAAGGTAGGATTCAATTTCTCAGAACAGGACATTAATAAAACATAAAATGTTCTGTAAAGCTTGTATCTTCGTGTCTCTCAAAGTCAGAGAATGGATTTTGGCCTGCAAAAACATCAGCCGTTAGTCTCCAGCGTTCAGATCTGGAAGCCGATGCCAGCAATCCATTTAGAAACTAAGCACGCCCTAAAAGAGGGAGGGAGTGTTAAAGGTTCACTCCGCCCAAGCTGCTGCTGTATGTTTTGCTTGTTTGCTAGCAAGGAGAGAGTCGCGTGGCGATTTATTGGGATCTCTCACTGCTGGAGTCACCAAAAAATATCATTCCAAATCCCAGTTCACCCAACTGTTACATTCTAATGTTCTACATCCCTGATGGATCCCTCATCATCGAAGTAATATGGCAAACTTGGATGCAAGAATAACAGCTGACTTTGCATAGACCGCTGCTGGTAATTGGAGGCTGAGATATAAGAAGTCAGCAAGTGATTCAACTTGAAGTACCCAGATCCTTCACGATTTACATATTCTGAACAAGCACTTTAAAACATGCCTTCATTCACCTCTGTATCTACAAGGGTATGTTCACACCAGCAGCCGCTATAGCTGCTGGTGTGCGCGACCCCAAAACAGTGCCGATGCACTTGATTTGTTTTTACCAAAGAACTTTATTAAAATGTCACAAGTGATATTTCACTCAGTTCTATGGGATCAACGCAGTGCGATGCGGTTGCACTGTGTCTCGGTGCGGTGTGCTTAAAAAAACGCATGTACAGCATGCAGTTCTTTCTTCAAGTGCACACCACCAGAATGAGCCCATTTATGACACAGCAATTTGCCTTGTCTTGGATTCAGGCTGCACTAGAATAAACGGCCAGCATAGCCTGAACGCAGATAGTGCGAACCGGCCGTAAGAATTGTGAAGAAAATTCGTTTTCAAAAGATCCAAACTCAGGCATTTAACCCTTTACCTATTACTTTCTATTGCACCACAATCTTGGCAGGCTGACAGGCCTCTAATGTAAACACACAGCAGGTGATTCTAAGCGGATAAGAACTGAAAAAAACAACAACTCTAGAATCTTTGTTGAGGTCTTTGAGAATGAATAATGTAAAATTAAAATCAGCTCGAGATGTCAGTGATGGCTTGTTTTAGAGCACCTCCTTTACTGCTTGTCAAGAATATGTAACCGGTTTATTGTCCTAGTCTGAGCACAGGTGCACTTTAAGGGATCCCATTCAAAACTGAAAACAGCCATTTTGGGTGGACTTGGCATTTAAAAAGAATACGATCATGACTTCAGTACACTTAATGTGCCATGTAAAAGGACTACTGCAACCAACCAGCTTTCTACTTAATCTGCTCTGCTTAAAAAAACAATAAAAAAATAATAATTGTGATTAGGAACAACTCTAGTAACAGAGTATCACCATCATATATTATATTACACTACACCCTGTACCTGTACATTATTTACATTACTTCAGATAACAGGTGGAAAAACATATTTACTTACCATCACCACATAGAAATACCATTCCCAGCACCATGCAAAGTGGGTGGAGGTTGAACTGCTCTGGTCCCGCCCAGGAGAAGCCTCCTCTGTAATGCAACAGCCATGTCCCTGTGATAGCCAATACTGCCACCCCCAAGATCTGAGCTGCAGCCACCAGGTATGGCATCACGCCTGTGTTCTGACGAGCAAGGGACTGCTCCATTGTGAAGAGAGAAGAGAGGCCTTACCTGTTAAAACAATGCAGCTACATTAACACAACATTCTTACAACTCATGAACGCAGATCTGTACTAACCGATATATAAAACAGACCTCCATATACACCAACGTTATAGATTTCTTCACAAAGTTATTTTTCAACAAAGGAGAAAGAAAAGCCAACGTTGATTAAATAGAAAGATGCAGCGGCCAAACATTTTGGCAAGGGTGTCATGAGCCTTATATAGATCAGGGGCGCCCACAATTTTTGTGTTAAGATCTACTTTTCAAATGACGAGCTACATGAGATCTACCAACGGAAAAAAAAACTCCCTCGCCCTCTGCCCTGGCTGTCTCTCTCCACTCTCTCCCCACTCTCTCCTGGCTCACCTTGTTGTATTTTGCAACAGGCTGTGTAAACTAATATTCTTTGATGTAATACATAGCACTTCAACCACCAGTATCCACCAGAAAGGTGTCAGGGAGCTTGGCTCATAGGTAATCATGTGTGCACAGCTAAATATACCAAAATGGAGTAAAGGGGCCGCCATTCGCACCCTTCCTGATCTACCAGCATCAGCTTTGAGAGCTACTGGTAGATCACAATCTACCTAAATGGGCACCCCTGATTATAGGGAATCAAAAGCAGCCAGATAAATGGGCATCAGCAACCTTGAAATAGGTCACCCAATGTGGCTGAAAGCCTTATTGGCTTTCCAGGGCCACATCTGTAATGACAAATTGCCAAGCATTGCTAAGATGGGTAGAGGGAAAAGAAAGATTTAATGGAAGAATGGGAAAAGGAACAGAAAAAAGAGGGGAAGATAAAATCAGGGAAGACAGACGGATGAGACAGACCACTTCTGCTTCTGGGAGTGGCTGTCAGAGTCTTGAAATTCATCATGGGACTGGTACCTTTCACAACAGCTAGAGTTGCGAGGTTGCCTACCCCTGACCTAGTGCATAGGAGAAGTGGTTTAGGTGGGCAGCAAAGAGACAAAGAACTGGGGCGCAGCATATGAGATCCGGGCCTGCCAGACCTTCACAACATTTCACATTTCTATAACAAATGAGCTTCCAACTGAATACGGTAAAAAGGCAAACTACTGAAGAGAAAAATAAATCTGTGGGTTTATCCAACAACTCATTCTTCATGGTCTGTGTAATGGGGTGTGGCATGAGTCTTCCATTTGCCTATACAGTATATTTTCTGTTAAAAGCCATCCCTCTTCCTGATGTAATAATGTAGGGAGGTACAAGTATGATATCTGTGTGCATGGTACAACCAATGTATATCACCTTCAGCCTATTCTAATACAGCAAACAAAACCTCCGTGAGCCAGCAATCTTATTCAAAGAGTTAGGAGAAAAGTCCTTCTCTTTGAATTTATCTGACTTTTCTAGAGTGATTCTAAGCTGGTTACTCCGTATGTAAAACAGCCTTTTAGGATCAAAATAAATATTTAATGTTAAAGTGGGATTGCTGTAAGGCAAAGACCCCCTCAGAGTGCCATATGCTGGGCACATGAATTCAGATTTGGCCTTAGATTTAACGCGCTCGTTATAGCAGAGGTGAATCTGTGTGTAAATATTTACCAAACAGCAGAGGCCTCTTGGTTTGCAATAACTGCCATACAGACAGCAGAACACAAGCCAGAAGATTTTCCATTTCCAAAACCTGCACAACAAAAAGGAGGAGGGTGGCCTTTTTCTGTGTGATGTATATCTGTAATGATCCGATTAGTGCACTGCTGAACACAGCGTCTCAGTCACTGATAAGGTTAAATGGAAGAGTGCAGAGAGATGACGCAGAGAGAAGACAGCCAGGGGACAATGTGTCTGTCAGCTCAGAACACCAACTGTATGTGTGGGATAAACTAATTAGATCTCCCCTATATTGCATTTCCCATTTATTAACCAGCAGGGCAGATGGAAGGTAGCAGCACCCCGGGGCAGCCAGAAACATTCAACAGGCCCGGCCAGACCTCTTTCTGTACATTTTAGCAATCTGTTAAATGCGATTGTGCGATTGCTGCAGGTGTGCCGGGTACCCAGTTCTTCTAAATAGTGTTCCTTTATTCCATTAGCTGTGCTGCTCTTTATTTCAGGAACCAAAAGCAAAATAAGCGTCACTGTTCTTGGAGTGAAGCTTTCGGTGCCATGAACATGAGAATGTTAACCTGCCAGAAATGTGACTGACATCCAGCCAACTCTAAACCTTAACTGGACCCGAACCACAAACACCTCATCACACAATGTCAGCCTAAGGTTGGTGCAGACCTCCGTGACCCGGGATTGCGCAGTCCTGCACAATGCAGGTAGCAATTGCCGCGCGGCCCCACTGATTTCAATGGGTGACATCCGCACGGCAATCACAGCCGCAATCGTGTTCAGAAGCATGGGCGGAATCGCGGCGGGAACCCGTGAAGTGTTGCCTAAGTGTGCACCGGCCCTTAACCACCTGCTGTCCAGCCGTTGTAATTAAATGGCCAGACAGCGGCTTCTTGAATGCGGGTGGACGTTTTTAAACATCCCATTCCCGCCCCGCTCATGCCCACGGCTAGGCAGCGAGCGGGAAATCAGCCTGGATGGCTGTTTACATACAAGCGTTCGGGCGTCTGTAGAGACACCCGATCGCTTGTAATATGTGTGCGGGTGTGCGCTCCCACTCAGTTGCTGCTGGCGATCCTGAGCTCCGCTGTGCCCGGTGCGAGCCCGGGACCAGTACAGCAGCTCTGCGGCCGGAGCTCAGTACACGATCTCAGTTTGATCTCCTCCTCCTCTTCGGAATGCAGGAAGTGATGTGTATTGCATCACTTCCGCATTCCTCTGTCATTCTCCGGTACAGAAACCGGAGAGAAGCTGGTGAAGCAGGTGTTAGCTTTATCAGCTGCTCTGTGGGTCCCTAGGTGAAATTAGGGGTCTTAAAGACCCCTGATGTCTCCATAAAGAGGACCGGTCACTGAAAATTGGCTATCACAAAGGGGGCTTGTTAGTCCGCTATGTGATAGCAATAAAGCTAAGTGAAAAAAAAAAGGTTTAAAAGAATTAGTTAAAAAAATGTAGTCACATAAAGGTAATGAAACATTTTTTTTTGAAGTCCCCCGCCCCCCACACACACACGCAAACATGTGTCGAGTGCGCCTGCGTGCGGAAACGACGATTACATCCATTACGCCACACAGAGCAATTATTTTAGGGCCATCAATCACTGATAACACTAAACTGATGAGCGGAAAAACCTTTTAAAGCGTTGCCTATGGCCAATTTTGGGGATGGTAGTTTTTGCGAGTTTGCGGGCGCATGCAATTTGAAAGCTTGACATGTTTGATGTCTATTTACCCGACGTGACCCCGGCTTTTATATTTTGCCTAAAATTTGGGTAAAGCTGCAGCTAACGACTATTTTCAAAATCGGTTAGCCGATTATTAAGTTCGGTTAAATCGGATAAACTATAAAATAAAGTTTAAAAAAATGGCTCCAGTGATAGGACTACTAGTTTGTATTGAGATTGTAGTCCATCACGGGAGCAAGCTTGGAGCGGTGGAAGTAAAAAAGACAAAAGAAAAAAAAAGAAGAAGATAGTGTTGTGTGCAATATAGTGAAATGAAAAAAAAGAGTAAAATTATACAGCAATGAATGCAGAATGGCAATGAATGCAGAAGGTTTTGTATAGAACTACAAAACCCAGCAAAAGCACATTATACAGCACGATGCAGAATACCACCAGCTATAGAGGAATACAACAAATCCCAGCAATAGTACATAATAGCTGGCGGTATTCTGCATTGCGCTGTATAATGTACTATTGCTGGGTTTTGTAGTCCTCTATAGCTGGTGGTATTTAGCATTGTACCACTTTATAATGTATTATTGCTGAGATTTGTTGTACTCTTCTATAGCTGGTGGTATTTAGCATTGTGCTGTATAATGTATTATTGCTGGGACTTTTAGTCCTCTATACTGCGCAATGCAGAATACCACCAGCTATAAAGGAGTACAACAAAATCCCAGCAATACATTATACATACATACACTGTATTGCTGGTATTTGTATTCCTATGTATAATATACAGCACAATGTACCATCAGCTATAGAGGAATACAAATCCCAGCAATACATTATAGAGCACCATCTGCGGGAAAGTGCAGGCTTACCTGAGCAGTCTTCCAGCAACTTGCTTCTGAGATCGGACCTGTCTATCAGCAGCAACTTTTTCAATAATCGATTATAAAATCGATGTCGATTAGTTGTTGCAGCCCTACTGAAAAATGGCCTGGACAGGAAGGGGGTGTAAACACCTGGTCTTCAAGCGGTTAAAAGGATATTTCCACCTTTTGTAAGTGATTGAGTTTTTGGTGGCAATGGGGAGGTGCAGGGGGGATGTACATGTGTGTGCATTCTCAGGAGTTCAGGGCTGTTTTTCATACTTTATTTTATAGATTCTTTTACAGGCCAGAGACCTAGAAGTTCAAAATTCCCTCCACAATAATCTTCTCATTTACAGATATGACTGCTAGAACAGATAGACATTGGAAGGTAATTGATCAAAATTGAAGCGCACAGAATCTGGAGCAGTTGCCCATGGCAACCAAACAGCTTCTCTCTTCAGTTCGTTCAGTCACCAAACAATCCCCGGTGATGCTATCGAAACTGGAGCATGCAAAATCTGGAGCAGCTGTGCATGGCAGCCAATCAGCTTCTCTCTCATTTTCAAATCTTAACGGAACGAACTGAAGAGAGAAGCAGATTGGTTGCCATGGGTAACTGCTCCAGATTCTGTGCGCTCCAATTTTGATCAATTATCCTCAAACGTCTTTTTATCTGTCATATCTGTAAATGAGAAGAATGGTGGGGGACATTGGGGAACCTGGACTTGGGCAGCAGAGAGTAAATGTGACACCAGGATAAGGGGGAGATCTGAAAGAGAGACACAGAACACAGAGAAGTCTATAGACCAGGACAAGTGACAGGAGATTCTAACACTCACACAGAGCTATGACTCATCGCTGCTGTCCCTCCACAGAGC